AGCACAACCTTGATGGCCTACAGCAGGCCATCTCAACAGGCCACCAGTCACTAAACAACCTTATCAAAGACACGCATAGTTTATACAAGTATTTTCATGCCCCTGAGATCCAATTCACTCCCTGTTTTTTTACTGAATAATCCTTCTGTTGACTTTTTATCAACAAAGCTCAAGCTGATGCACTCAGAAGTTGGATGAGCTGGAACAAATTTTGCCTGCTTTAAATCATGCTGTCAGAAGTGAGCCTTGCTTGCTGTGCCTGATCTGGATTTGGAAGCAATATGCTCAGAGATGCCCAGAGGTCAGTGATGAAGGAAATGAGGGAGATGACCCTGAAAACTCCAGAGCTTGCAGAAGCCTCAAGAAGGACAGAATGGGAGGATGCTTTGCTGCCAGCTCTTCCTTCCTTAATAAGGGTGGGGGCTCATTAGACCACTGAGTGTGTCCTTTGGCTATTTGCCTAGATGAGATTTTGCAGAGTATCTCTGGTCAGCAAAGGCAGGGGAATATGCAGCATAATGATTAATATAAATGGAGCAGGATCTCATTATCTGACTGACTCAGTGGCATTGGTGACTGGTTGTAGCTGAGATTCAAACCATTTTAGCACAGTACTTCACTGATCCTGATGAAGGTGCTGAATCCTGAGCATTGTGAATAGCCATGGGATATTTTGTAGTGTTTTGAAGCCTGGATTGGGCACCTTTCAGTATGAATATTGCAGAAGAGCTATTTCCCATAGCACACTTGAGAAAGAAGCTGAATAAAGCATCAAAAGCTCTAAGTCAGCATTGTAAAACACCTATGGCATATTGGAATATAGGCACCTGTAGCAATTTTGCAGTAAAGTTTAATCTATTAAGAGGAAAGTTTGGGACTGTTAGGCAGAGGGGAGCAGAGCTTAGCAAACAAGACATCAGCCTCTGTGTGGCTCAGAATTTGTCTGCCCTGATATCTCAGCTCATTTTGCCACCACAGTGGAACTTTGTGATTATCTACTGTGAGAGCATTTGTATTCTGGTGGTCTGCTAGACAGATGGAGTCCTGAATATCAAATATGAAGAAAACTGATCAAGTGCCCTCATGTCATTTACTTTTTGTCCACTTTGTGCTGCATAGATGTCTCTCATCTGTAGACAATTACACCTGACAGAATTCCAGCCTGGGAAATGAGGCTCATAGACCTAGCAAAGAGACAGCTGGCTTGATGGTTTGATTTAATGGCACTCTGAAACATCCATATAATCAGTCTTTATGCTTAGCTCTGTGTTCCATGATCCTCTTGATGCCAGTAACTGGATCCATTTCTGGCACATTCTGAAATAATCAAAAGACTTTTCTGGCCTAGGTCCATTCTGGCTAAGCTCCCCTCTGCTTCAAGTCTAAAGGTTTTCAGTACCCTCCTTTGCCAAAGAGGGTAGCCTTTGCACTCAGTGCTATATTTTGGATGCTGATGTTATAGAATAAATATTATGGCCTGAATCCTGGAATAGCCTGAGTGGTCCGTGTTTCTATCACATCATCTTCATGTGATAATGCATTAGAATATTATAAAGATCATACCGTGTGCAAAGCAAAGGAGTTTCATTCTTTGAGAATACATCAGCCTCTGGATGTGAAGACTGTGGTCAGAAGGGAGCTTAAACTCTAACTCCTGGGACACCCAGGTTTCCTGCAACACTGTTCGTTTATAGACCAGATGTGGTCTTCTTGGCATGTTGTCATCCTTTTTCTCGTGTTTCTAACACTAATAGCAAATACCAAAAGATGAGTGCTAACTTGAACTGGTTCTATTATGAAATAGTTTTCCTCTCAGTCCATTTTCCTAATTCAATTGTAAAGTAAGTCATAACTGAAATACAAAAATAAATGGTGCTTGATGTTCTGATCATTTTTACAGAAATAAAGCAAAAGGTTACCCTGCACAACGGGAGGGAGCTACTTTTCCTCCCACCAAGTTTCCTGCAAGCCCAGCAGAGTTTCTTTGCATTCACACTGGGGTAAGATTGGAGCCCTGGGCTTTGCAGAACAGCCTGCACACACAGCAGTGATTCCAGCTTGCACCCAGTACCCGCAGGTCCAGGCGACATTCCTTTCTTCCCACTCCTACAGAATAACTGTAATGCAACAGCAAGAATTTAAAAAGGCGTTTGATTCATTCCCAGCCCCCCCAGCTGAGTATTTCGTTAGAACTAAATGTTATTGTTGGAGGAAACACAACAATTCAGTGTTGCCAGTGCAAGGCATTATTGCAATTATTTGAAAACAGGAGTCATGTAAACCTTGGTAAGCCTCATGTAGGGTTTGGATTCGAACAGGGGACTTTGAGCAAATCTAATGAGCCTCATTCTGTGGTGACGCCCCAGTGCAGCCTATTCATCATCTGCAGCCATATGACCTGCTGCTTTTTAGAGTATTTTAAGATACTTGCTATTTTAAGGAATTACTGCAGACCATCCTTCTAGCAGCTGGTGGGTGCTAGGAACAAATGGGCCAGTGCCAGCCTGAAAGGAAAAATCTGATGATGCACAAAGCATGCATGAATATTTCATGTCTGATTTTCAGCTACTGCAAATCAATGATCATACACCATCTTAAATCAGGTGGGGTTGTGTCCCTTTAGGAGCACCAGATAAATAGGATATTGCATTTTGGAAAATCACAGATCAAGTACTTGCAATCAAAAGCAGGGTAATGACCACTCCAGTTAGCACCTTCACTACGATCAGGTCAATTTAATATCAGGATTTGAACCAAGTGTACTCAAAGCTGAGTATTGCTGCTCGGGTATGAATGCAGCAACATGTAAGTTCCTTCCAGACCAAGATATATCAGTACCTGAATTGCTACAGTGGCCCAGAAAGAGTTGGACTTATTTCTCCCTCCTTCTAGGTTAAAAATAACTGTAAATTCTCTAAATTCCACAAAATTTCAGTGCAGATACTTAAGAAGAGATGTCTGTGGAGTTTTCACAGGCCTTCAGTTCGTGCTTGTACAAATTAAACCCAATGTGGCCATCATCATTGGCTCAGTGACTCTGTGGGACCTTTGTGCATTGCTCAGTTCCAAGCTTGGAGGCATGTGTGACAGAGCAGTAAGGTGGCACATGCTGGCTCTGACTCCATACCAGCTTGTACCTGGCTCCCAGCGCAGCCTGGTAAGAGTGAAGAGAGGCAGGAAGAAGGTCAGAGGTAACTGTTTTACCGTGTCCTGCAGGAACCCTGGGCAGAAAAGAAATGCTGGACACCCCCAGCATCCACAAATATTTTGCAGTTCATTCTACATGGTGAGATATACACAGCAATATAAGGTGTGGGAGTAGGGGGAAGGGGTAACAGATTAGGAGCAGGACTAGGTGGCAAATGTCAGTATGGAAAAATGAGCTGCCCTCCTTGTACATCACTGCCCCTACTTCAGTCAGGGACTGACATTTTGGTTCCATAGGGTTTCCATAGCATAACACTCCCCTACCTGAGGTAAATATTGGGCAAATTAACACACAGACAAAGTAAGGAGCAACTTCATTAAGGTCTAAAGAAAATGTTCTTTTTTTTTTTTTTTTTTTCTGTCTCAGAGCCCAGCATTTGAAGGAGCAATGTAAAAAATGCTCTGAATAATCTGCTGTCTAATCTACTGGGAAGTTTATTACTATCATGCAAACAAATGTCATTTTTCCACAAGCTGCCCAAAAATGTCAGACTGCTTGGCTGTCTGTGGAGAAAAAGCAGAACCAATACTCTGAGCTGCTTTGCTTCTCACAGACAGAAGACATTGCCTTAAATAAAAACCAGAAGAATCTATGCTGTAATGGAAAAAAGAGAAAGGAGTTCTGCCTCTTTCGGGGAAAACAGGCTGCTAATGTGATAAAATATCATCCTAAACTAAAAACTGAAGGTCTAAAAAGGCCATTTTTGTTGTTGAAAGCGAAAGCCGCCGTATGTGAGAAGTGTAAGATATTGTCCCTTGAAATTACAGAGGTCTGCTTATTTTTAGCTTTTTGGATGCTGTCAGCTTCCTGTATAAACGTGGTTACATAATGGACATAATCTGCACCTCAGCGGGGCCATACGTGCCAAGCTATAAGGTTACGCAACAGCCTCCAGCTCCTTCCCACGAGACAGAACACAAAGCCTCGTGCCTCCCCTCACTGCTCTGCTCCTTCTTCTGGGGCAAAGTCAGACGTACAGACACGGACAGACACGTGTCACAGCAGGCACACGCAGATGTTCATTCAAACACACACACATGTGTATATGAACACACACATACCCCTTGCTTTCTTATTACCTGTTCAAAGGTATATTCACAGAATCATAGAAATGCTGCATTGGAACTTTTCTGGCATCCCTAACAGGGGATATACAGGTGTGCTGCAGCTATTAAAAGCAGCAGAGTTAAATCCCAAACTCACGCTGACTTTCTGAAGCTCCCCAAAAGTTTCCCCTTTCCTAATCTGACCTCCAAATGCTCCTTATTGTTGCATGCAGTGGTATGTGGAGAACGTGCGGTGCCACTGCTGAGCGAGAACAAGCTCATGGTTTTAAGCTCATTAAGCAGTGTGTGACATTGTTTTGCTCTGATCATTTTTTAAGACAGGATTTTCATCTTTGAGAAGCTGTGTGGTTCCCGGGCTGTATCATTCTTCGAAGAGTACAAAACTACATCACTTCCAACTTATTTTTAGAGTAACCTGTGTTTGCAAATGCTCAAACTCTGGCACAGATTGACGGGAAATTACTTTTCCTGAAATGTAAACACAGGAGGAGCTGTGCCTGCCACAGTGCCGTAAGTGTATCAAGGTTTCTTGGGCAAAATCTTTTCATACATTTTCTTATTGCACACGATGTGCAATTTTAGTTCGCTACTCACACTAACTTCCTCCAGTGCCAAACTGAAGCAATTTTTAAGTTGTTTTTTTTTTTTTCTTTTTTAACTTTGTTTTAAGAAGGAGATTTTAACACGGAAAAAAATATACATACACATTTATTCAGGCACAGCTTTCCAAAACTGAGATTTTATTCTGTCACCTTTATCTGTGAGGGCCTTTAATATTTTTTCCTCTAGCATTATTCTTCCTGTGTTTATAGATCCTGTCTGAGTCCAGCAGAGTGTTGCATTAGGAAAAAGCCAATGAAACACAGAAATGCTGGGGTGGTTACATTCAGCCAGCAAGACTTTCTCTTCTATTTTCATCTTAAAGACTAAGTGGCAAAATGGGACTTCAGAAAGCAAAAATTAGATTAAAATTATTAATATTTTTAAATGTAACATTCACATTCTCTGAATTTCCCTGTTCCAGGTGAGGTTTATGCCCTGACTTTCAGATCAGGTGAGGCACCCACATCTGGGCTGGTCATAGGGATCCAGCTGTTCCGTGAGCCCAGCAGGTGCCCCAGCTGCCCAGTGCACCTTCCTTGGGCCATGTCCCACACAGAGTGCCTGAGCTGCTCCAGGAGCTGGCAATGTGATACAGACCTCCACGAGATGGGCTGGGTGAGCCACAACTGACGCTGCCGCCTTCCTACCAGGGGTAATTACTCACAGTATATTGTCTTAAGTGGCAATACTCTATTTGCAGCATTACCACTTCCCTATGGGTTTTACCCACTTCCTTAGCCTGGGCTCTGTCACGATTTGAGTCAGACTGAGGAATTCACCCAGCTTTAAGAACATGCACTGTGGGCCTATCTATATTTTTCAGTTTTTGATCTGGATGGCTTCCCATCCCAAACCACTGGAGACACCCAAACAGAAGTAAGGAGAGAACACACAGTGATACAAACATGAGAGGGAAAGAAAAGGTTGGGTGTGGGAAGAAGATGTCAGTGGCACATACAGCTGATATTGATGTCAAACTGAGACTGCAGCCCCACACATCAGCCCATCAAAATAGAACAGAACAAAATGAATCCCAACATTTTCTTTAGTTGTTCAGAACACACAGCCACATTTTATAGGCTATAATACCCAGCTGAAGTAGCTCTATTTCTTTCTTGTTATATGGCTTTCCTACTGATCATTTAAGCTTTGTAATTCAGAGGTTGGTTGTTGTTTTGTGGGTTGTTTTTTTTTTTTTTGCATTTCCAGACATGGAAAAGAGATAGTATACAAAAATGGAAAGCTCTTACAAGTGACCATATATGTGACCTAAGGCTTATTCACCCAGCTGGCTTAAGGTAAAATGCATCCTAGCTTTTTATCTTCTAAACTTTAATCCATCTTCTCTCATACTAAAACAAGGAAGATTTTACCTTCATTTTTCTGTTATCCACTGAACTTGCTGAAAATCAAAAGCTCTGTGGCACACCTCTCCTGCAGCATCTTAGCAGAAGTCATTACAGAGCACCCCAAACACTCTAGCTATCTCTAAGGCCCACATCAACAGTAGAACAGGAAGCAGCCCAGGGGAGCAGTGACACTAAGCAGCAAGGCAGAGAAGGTGTGAAGCTGCCTGTTTCCCAAGGGCTCCGAGGAAAGTTCTGCCTTTGTAGGAACACTGCAGTGTGCCAGCATCTTTCCATGCTCAGCAACCCCTGACCTAAAGACGTGTATGTACTGATGGCTGTCTGGTGCTATGGGAAATGACCATTTGACCCAATGACTGCTAATTGCACAAATTTTAAGTCAAACAGTACCTTTGTAACTGAGGGCACAAAACTACCACTAGGAATACTGATATTTCTCAAAGTAACAAGATGCAAATCAGACCTTAAAACACCAAAATACACATTCTGTGCAGAAATATTGGGATCAGTAAGTTGTGATGGATGGGAATCTGGGCACTGTGATGCTGCTCATGCAAAATACCATTTGGCTTCAGCAAGAACTGCAGAGCATGGCTTGGGCTCCTTGGTCTACATGAAAACTCTTCCTTGTCAAACTATACTAAATCATCCAACCCCAGAGCAAAGAGGTTCTGGGTCCTTTTTTAAGTTTCTACATGGATGAATCCTGGTACCATGTTATTCAACAGTTTCACTCAAGTAAAATTTCCACTGTAGCAGTAAAAAGTTTACCTGCTTAAAAGGGAAGTAAATGAACTGATCAGAAAGAAGGGGCTACTTGAAAAATGTTTGATGCCTGGAGCTCTTTTAGAAGGACTGGGACATGAGCAAGACTGAATAAATCAATTTAATCAACAACATCTTTCCTCTTTGTAAAACTTGCTAAAACTTTTAAGTCCAAGTGGCAGCACTTCTGATTTCTTTTCTAAACTCAGAAGAGTTTAATATGCTGTATAAAGGAGAAGAAGCTGCATAGCTCCTAAGAGGAAGACATAAAGCTTCTGTTTTCTTGATCTGCTGAACACAATGTGAACCCAATGCTCCATTACACTTTGGTCAGGCAATTCACAAAATATTCCTGTCCATCCTCGATAACATTGGCACATGAACCTCTGTCTCATGACTTCTATGTTCTCCAGGCTGAGTTCACCAGTCACCTGCAATCGTGGGCCCCTTCCTGAGCGATGGGCTTGGATCTTAAAATCACTGGATGGCAGATGTAGGTACGCAGAAGAGTCACTGTTTTTGCGTATGCATCTTCCATTCTTCTTACACAAGACTTTGCTACAGAGTTTGGCAGCTGAGGTCACATTAATGACATAATGTCCTAAGGGTCCATCAATGTATCTCTTCACAGTGGAACAGCTCTCCTGCAGGAAGTAAAAGACATCACACATTACTCAGTAACTAGCATTGGGTCTAAATTTCTTGTGTTTCAGAAGATACTAGATCAAAACTGTACTCAGCTGAAATATCTGTTGAGATAAACACGTTGGATTTGCGTGCCTCCATTGGTAACATCTGCAAGTAACCTTTACCATATCCTCTGTTTGGGAGCTCGGTAGCAGTATACAGGATTAGACTGGAAATGAGTCCTAGCAAACAGAAAGAGAGCTTACATCCTGACCTGAGACTCACTAGTTCATTAAGTAAAGATTTCTGGTAACTGCTGACAAGGACCAGTGTATGTGACTAATAGGTTTTAAAGCAGTTATTGAGCTACTGCTTTGGTCCTGATTTCTCCAACTCCTTCAGCTTACTGGGAACTACATCATTCTCAGAAACCAGCACAGAAGTTGCAACTAGCAATTTCTATATGGATCCCTTATTTCCCTGCTGAAGTCAGTGGTGCTTTGCCAGAGGCTTCAGGAAGAAGAGAGTAGATTATGTGAAAGGGAGAGAACCAGAGCCCAGCCCAGATTCAGAGTCAATATTACAAGCTGATACAAATAACTTGTTTGAATCAGTGTGCTCTCAACAACAGCACTTCTCAGCATAACTGCAGTATAGAACTAAGAGTTGAAAGTTATCCTGAACCACCATCAATAAAGACAGTCAAGTGCTATGATGGGTATGGTGGCACAGAAGAGGTATTGAGGTGATTTCTAAATAGTAATAGATCAACAGAATCTACCTTTGAGCTGGCATATTGCATACTGCCCCAGAGAACAACTCCAGCTGCTCCCAAAGCTGCGCTTTCACCAATGGTATTAACCAGATCAATCTGAAAGAAGACCAAAGCAGACATCAGAAAACCAAAGATATATAACTAAAACTAAAAAATGTACTAGGATATTGGCATCACTTTTTTCCCCCTTACAGGAAATCAGGCTGAACATTAAAAAATACTTCTCCAAAAGAGCAGTCAGGCTCTGGAATGCGCTGCCCAGAAAGGTGGTGGAGTCACCATCCCTGGAGGTGTTCAAGAAACATTTAGATGTTGTACTGAGGGAGATGGTTTAGTGGGAAATACTGGCAATAGGTGGATGGTTGGACTGGATGATCGTAGAGGTCTTTTCCAACCTTGGTAATTTATGATTCTGTGATCACAGTTCGTATTAGAAAGATTTTATTTGTACCTCCGAAGGCATGCACAGGGTTTTATTCACAAGAGGGAATAAGAAATAATAAAATCCTTACAGTTTATTCCCAAGGAGTCCTCCAACCAAGCTGGTGGGGTAGGAATTCAAAGCTATGCTTTATCTACCAGTCTTTGAATGATTAGCATAGATAAATAGGCAGTGTACTTAGTACGTGATGTTAAGTACGGTCATGTGATTGGATGCCCCCATGGAACCTTGCTGCATTTGATAGGCTTTAAGCAGGTGCCTAACTTGTGCTGCTTTAGCCATATCAATATACTCACAGAGCTGCTGCTCCTAGCAGCATGAATGCCATTATGCTGGGAAACATATCACTGAAACACAAGCCTCTCCCTGTTCTTCATAATGCCAACCTGGGGAAAGCATACTTGCATATACTGACTTAGCCATGTCCATTATTAGACCTGCACCAATACACAATCAAGTTGTAGTAATTACCAGTAATGTAGCTGCACCAGAACACACTGTGTGCAGAACAGGAGTCACTTTCCAACAACATAGCAATGTATCTTCTATATATTTTAAATGCATTCCCTGAGACTGTGAATAGTATGTCTAGAGAAGTGCAACTGCACCTTACAAATTAGGGAGTAAGGTCTTTCTTCCATTGCTACATTTCAAGGAATGACCAATCACATCTGAAACTACTCTTTCTTGATTTGGAAGAAACAGTAGAAAAAATAAACAGTGGATTCCATTTTAAAAGTTACGGATGTTCTTTTATGCAGTCTTTTAATCTCTTCCTAGGAAAAAAACAATGTAAGAAACCAGACATATTATCACAGCATGGTGGTGTATTAGAAATGCAAACTCAGAGAATGGAAGAACTGTGTTATTATTGTAAATTGCTGCTAAACAATTTATTTTTCTCAGTAAGTGGGCATGTTGATTTACCAGTGCATGGCACAGAGTTCTCATTCCTGAAACTTGTAAGCTTAAGAGACATAAAAGAAAGCATAATAAGTGCATTGAAAACAGGAGATTCTGCTGAAGTGCTGAAGATTGCTACAGGGTCAGAGTAAGTGATTTTGACCATTAACTGGAGATCAGACAGTACAGGGAAACCTGCAAAAGTTTGAAAGAGCAGAGTTAGCCTGCTGACTCTTAATGCAGGGTTCAAAAATGATACAGAGTATAATTAATCTTGTCAGAGGATCATGATGCTGATGATCATGCAAGCAGTCTCTTAGAGAATAATACTCGTAAAAGATTATAGTCCAGTTCTAGCTATATAAAAGGAGGATGGTGAGTGCTGCGGGTGTTATTTTTAAGTGGGAAATTGTGATTTTCTTCTTCTTTCCTCTTCTGGTGTTTGTGTGAATTTAAAAAGCGAGATATCACATGTAAAAACAATATAAAATATAGCCTGAGCTCTTGGCAATGATGATTTGTAAGCTGTTCTCATCTTGAAAGCATTTTATGAAGATTACCCAGTGCAAAGGCTAGATATTTGCCAGATGGTTGTTCAGTGATTTAGCGCCGGCAGGGTTCAGATCTCATGAACAAATCAATGAAACCTTTAAGATCAGTCAAAATAAGTGACTAGCTTATTTTATATAGCTATCAATAGATAGCTAGCATTGCTGGATGGACTAGAACTTGAGAAAAACCCAAAATAACGACTTTAAGTGGTACACCTTGGGATTAGGGTGCTTCACCTCAAGTCAGTAAATCCAATTTTACTCCCTCGTGTTTCACAGCTTTCTTTGTTATTTGTAGAATTTTTTTAGATTTAGAACCACAAAAATATTTCAGCACTTCATGTATGATCCATACGAATACAAAATAATTAAATCCAAAAGCACAAACTCCACTGCCACTTGTAATTTCAGAAATGAAACTCCTGAAGCAACTTCATCCTTTCACCTGTAGTTCACACCTAGGATCAACACTTTGCCAGTGCTGAGAAACTTAGCACTTTATTCAGATTAAGGTCAAGATTTGTCATTTGATTGGAAGGTACGCTGGCCTAGAGATGCTTGAAGGACAGTCACAGCACCTGCAGTTATTAGATTTTTCCTGGGGAAAAAAAATGAAAAAATCCACACCACGTGAGATTTTATTTAAACAAATATTTCCTTATATTTCCTTCCTCTTCTTGTTTGCTTTAAAACAAAGGTCAAGTGGTAAAAGTCCTCCCCTGGGGGAGAGAGAATTAGGAAAATGTAAGCTAAACTTTCCTATCTTCTTCATGCTTAAAAAATGTGTCATCTCCAGCTCTGTGGGGATTATCTTCACTGGGGAGTTAAAGACAAAAGGAAGTATTTCTCTTTCTGATGCCATTCTATTTTGCACCAATTAAATAAAGGCTTAAAGGAGAACAAGAGAGACAAGTGTGAACCTGACTACAGCTTATGATTAATTCAGAGTAATAATTACATAGACTTGCCCACAAGGAAGGAAATAAAGTTTCTGTCTGTCATTTCTAGGCATAGCCACATCTCTTGCTGAAAGACTGATTCATATGAAGAATTTCAAAAGCCTTCAGCAGAGAATGGCTTTTCTTTGAATAATCTATCAACACAAGGTGACATTATCTATTTCCCTTTCTCTTCTTTATGCTTGTTCTTTTTGGTCTTTCCCGGTGTCTGACATAGACTGAGAGTGTTCTGGATCCAATCTAGTAGGCTGGGAAGAGACGTGAACTGAGAGCTCCTGCCTCACAGGTAGGTAGGTACTCTGACCCCTGGTCAGCTACAGCATCACCACCCTCCACTACCACACAACTGGTCAGAAAATAAAACTCTTATTTCTCATTTGAATATTGTGGAGAAAAAATGGCATCATAACTGACTCTCATAATTGCTGAGAGTGGCAAATTGGAAGCATGATCAGGAGGTTCCTCCTCGGAGCACCGTGCAAGGCCCACACATTCCAAGAGGCCCCAGAAGCACAGTTCCTATCAAGGCTTCTCCATATTTTGATCAGGCAAGTCGCTGCCCTGCATGCTAAAAAAGTTGGAGATGAGTTGTTTCACTTTGCAGCCTGAGAAGAAGCAGGACAGTTTTCTTAGCTACATGCTGAGAAAAGGAAAATAAGTATATCTGTAATCTTTCTTCACAACTCTGAATGGTCTCGGTTCAGACATGCTTTTTCTGTATTCAGAAATAGCAACGCAAGCCTTGAGTGGTTGCAGGCAATGGTATCTGCACACTGACGCACAACTTGGCTTCAGAGACTGTTATTAAAATTACCTGCATGTGGATGAGAGAAGTTGTCCATTTTTCATCATTTTCTGGTAGTCATCCTCCTTTATTCATGACTTTAGTCTTCTGGTCAGACACACAGCTGCCGCTGTGTAACTCCTCTCTCCCACACACACTAATAGCGAATTGTCATGCATGCATGCATTGTATGCATTTGTAGCAGATAGAGAAGCTTTTCATAACGACTGGGATCTCAAATCATAATTTATACACTGCTTTGATGAAGAAAATCAGGATGAATTTCTCAGCTATCTTATGCATAGCTCAGCCAACTTTTGTGTACAGTTAGAGGGGAAGGTACAGTGGGCATAGCTGCAGCAGCAGTTTGGGACCTGTGCCTTTTGTCTTTCTGAAGGTCTGCTAGACCTGTGCCTCTAACCTAACTGGCTTTGACTCACAACTACAGTTTTTGCTTTCTTCTGTTGTGATGTTTATTGAATTTATCATACTGTGTATGAGAGAGAGCCTTATGCCCAAGCCTTAAATGTGTCACCAGTTCTTTCTGTTGTTCTACAGTAACACAACTCTTGCTTGGCTTGATGGGACAGGATGGTGGTTGTCTCGGCCCAGGCTTGTCAGAGCTCAGGTGTCTGTAAACCTGCTGCCCCGTTTTTCCACTGTACAACATAGTTTCCATTTGTAGTTATATTCTCACCCACCATTACCGGAACTCAAGAGTTGCTTCGTTTATGAGCTTCAGGTAGGGGCATGCCATGGGTCACATGGCAAGCTCCAACCTAAGCTAAAATACGAACACAAATAAACATACTTAAAATGCCTCAGTGGCTTCAGTGCCAAGGAAAACAAGTTTATTTTCTCAGTCATTTTTATTTAGAGTTTTCTTAAGTGCAACCCTGCACAGGTTTCAGGCAGTCCCCAAGCTGTTCTCTGCAGACAATGTTTACTATTTGGGGATACTGCAAGCCCTGTCCCCTGCCTGCAGAGCTGGGTGCTATCCTTGTTAGAAGGTATGGAGTAGAGCACAACTCAAAGATGTTTTTCTGTCTATACATAAATCATCAATGGCTGCTGATTTGTAAAATGATCTTTCAAGCATCCAGCAGGAAATGCCCATATGGAACTGAAAAACTGAGTTAAAGAGTACAACATACTAGGAATATTGCAGTATCACTGTGCTGTTCAGAAAAGTGCAAGGTAAAACAATATAGCTTTATAGCACCACAGATTTTGAACTTGTGTATAATTGCTAACAGCGTGATAGTTTTCATAGCTTTCAGTAACATTCCTGGCATTTTTATATCTGTCAAAAGGATGGTTTGTATTATAAAAATGTATTATTACAGTCTGCATTTGCAGAATGCTCATCTATTTCATGGCCTGTTTTGAGTTCTTCAGCAAAGGCATTTGGGGTGAAAGCCTTCCTGTGCTGACCTCAGTAGCTCATTGCCTTCAGTGCAATCCCGCTTCACGTGCCTGTACATGATTTCTGAGACAGTTAGGACCTGCATCTTCCACATCACACAGCAAACATTGCTAAAAACAAGGCAAACCAAATTCACAATTGCTCCTATGAGCCATTTTCTTTCGTAGAGCACCCTGAAACACCTCTCAGGCTGCTGCGGCTTTTCCACCTCCCCAGTGCCAGGCTAAAGTCATGTGCATCTCAAAGCCTGCTGGGCTGACTGCTGCTTTTTTAACTTGTCCCTTCTTGTGGTGGCATCTATATACTTATTGCCCTTTGTCATTGGTTGATGGAACATTGCTTGACTCAAAAATTCATTTTTTTTTATTGAAAAGACATTAAATGTTGGATCATGAAGACCAGTGAATGTGTTGTATCTCTGAAAAATGCGTGCTCATCAGACAGGAGTTAAGAACTCCATGCCAGACCAGTTTATTTGACTACTTTATTTTTCGACTAAATGAATTTCCACTTGGATTAGGAAACAAAAAAGCCCTGAGGTTCCTTTCTCATGTAAGTTGGTCTTTCCATTATACAAATTAGTTTTAAACTTCACAAAAATTGTCAAGCTAATTTTACAAGCTGTCCTGAAGAATTAAAATATCAGGATGAATTATTTCTTTAAGGAAATGATTTTTTTTTGTACTTTCATTCTAAATTACCCTCACTGAAAATATACAATGTTATCCTCCAGAAATATACGAGAACACTGCAGGATTAACTATGGAAAGGTACAGTCTTTTATACTGTGAGTATAGCAGTAGCCTACTCTGGGTAGAGGAGTAGCTGAAGAGTACTAGAATGGCTTGGATTGGAAGGGACCTTAATCTAGTTCCAACCCACTACTGTGGGCAGGTCTATCCCCTATCAGCTCAGGCTGCCAAGGCCTCATCCAAGATGGCCATGAATGCCTCCAGGGATGGGGCATCCACAGCTTCTCAGGGCAACCTGTTCCTGCGCCTCATTACTTTCTGAGTTAAAAATTGAAAAATATGCATAAATGCTTTTATGTCTTTATACTTTTTTTCTAAGAGGTTGTTTCTAATCTCTACATTTCTAAAGACATCTGTGTGCTTACCTCTGTTAAAACATGAAAAGTGTAGGCGTAAAATGGTCTGGAGTAAACAAAAACAGGCAAAACGTAGTCTTTTCTAGCAATCGAGGCAACACGTATTGCCTCTTTAACCCGATAGTGAACAAACTTTAGTGCATTTGGACTTGACTTCAGTATATAATCCAGATATATTGAAGGGTAGAGAGCCGTACTTTCCTTCCACAGCCAAAGAAGGAGATCATTGCGAGAAGATTCAATGGCTGGGCATTTTCCTGTGTATGTTTCCCAGCGCTCTTTGTAATCGTAATTGTAGCAGTCTGGGTAAAGATAGTAACCCCACAAACCATTTGGCCTCATGTGTTCAGCCAGAAGGATAGTGTTGTTCATAAAACTCTTGCCAGCGTTTTCAAATTCCTCTTTAGCTACTTTCCTAATTTTATCCTCCGACCACTGTGGATGTCGTTGCCTAACCATCTCAAGAGATTTATTTCTATAAATGCTTTTATTGCCCCAGTTCCTATCCCACTGGGGTCTCCAGTTTTCCCAGTCAATGACCGCAAGTCCGTGAAATTTCTTCATGGGTATGCAATAGTCAATGTCAGACTTAGCTTTATTAAGGTGCTTGATAAGACTTTCATTTTGAGGCACTCCTCCATTCACGGGGTTGCCATTATCTGAGTAGTAGGGATAATATCCCAAATGAGTGTGATAGAATATTGTCACATTGGATCCACTCAGAGTCTCGTTGGTGTTTGATGCGATGTCAAAGATGCTGAGATCCAAGTCCACCTTGTACCGCAGCCGGCATTGCTCAGTGGGTGCATTCCAAACCACGACAAAGGGCTTGTGCAGAAGCAGGGGAGCCTGTGCCTGCTTTGGAAGCTGCGCATCACATGTAAGCAGCACTGTGACTGCCAGCCACCTGATCCAAAGATCCATGATGTGTTGCTTACTGGGAAACTGTTGTGGTGTGTCCTTGAATACAAAAATTAGAGATGGCATTTTACAATGTCTGACAGATAGGATGACAAAGGGATATCTTTAGGCTCCATTTTCTTTTGTTAACGTAATAATTTTTGCAAAAAGAAGAAGCCACAAAAACTGATCTTGGAAAAAATAAATCTAATTTCAAATGTTCAGAAAGACTTTTTACAGCCTTTCCCTTTTGGAAGCACGATCTGATGTTCAGTTTATCCTGCTTTCCTCTTCACCCAGAAACCTCATACACTTGATTCAGACCTTAGCACTTATTTTCTCCTTCATGAATACAACAAATGAGTTAAAAACAGAATAATTTTATAAAACAGTATAGAAAGGGTTATGCTACTCCTTTCAAATGTCGGCTTGGAAGCAAGTTCTGCTACAACCATTCCGACTTGCTTAGAACTTCATTATAATGGGCTAAGGACATCTCTATTATTTGTATACTCTAATGGTCACATTAAGGGTAATATAAAAGTAGTATAAACAAAAAGCGGACACATCTGTGTCGAAAGGATTAATCAAAAGAACTTAGAAATGGCAATTTTCAGCAGAACTGAAAAAAAAGCTTTGTTACCTACCCCTGAGTTAACTCTCACTTTCTAAATGAGTGGTTGCAAGAGCGATAATCAATCTGCAGTCTGGAAGGGTGATACTGTTAATGGCTTAATGATTTAGTAGTCATTATACTGGAAGTAAATTAAATATCAATACGTGAAAGAAATAATTATATCAAGCAAATCTGAACCAGACAGAAAGCATGACATTTCTTGGATAATAAGGGAACTAACCTAAAGATAGGGGGGCATATCAGTGTTATTGTTTTCCTTTCTAGGTCTGCTGTTTCCCCTGACTGGTAAGTACTCTGGCTTACAGACTAAGTTCTCTGGGGCTGCTGTTGCCCATGGCACCCATATCCATGCTTGGCATTGCATGGTGCAGATGTTCACCTGCTGCCTGCTCCAGAACCTATCCGCGCTCCTGGCTCTTCCTCAAGAGGCACAGCTCTGCTGTGTGCAGGATTTGTGATCCAGTGCCTTTGCTGGGCAGTACAGTACCTATTTGTCCAAACACTTCACAGAAGGGTCATACAATCAGACAATAGTAGAATGACTTAGCTTGGAGGGGATTTTAAAGATCATCTAATTCAACTCTCCCGCCATTGGCAGGGTTGCCTACCACTAGATCAGGCTGCCCAGGTTCCCATCTAACCTGGACTCGAATGCCTCCAGAGATGGGGCATCCTCTCTGGTCAACTTGTTCCACCACCTCAACACCCTCTGAATAAAAGATTTCTTCCAAACGTCTAACCAAAATCTGCGCTCTTTTAGTTTAAAGCCATTCCCTCTTGTCCTGTCATTATCAGGCTGTGAAAAATGGCAGTTCCCCCCTCCTGCTTGTAAGTTCCCTTCAAGTACTGGAAGGCTCCACTGAGGTCTTTCTGGAACCTTCTCCAAGCTGAACAAGCCCACCTACCTCAACCTTTACGAGAAATTATATGAATCTGGATATTTCCCTATTTTTACATCTTTTTAATGATTCTTTTCCTTCACTGTGAAGTCAGACCCAAGTTATCCTACCTTAATTAGACTAGCTTCACTTGCCCCTAGTACTTGTTCATTCAGGTGTAATCAGTTAATCACTTATCTCCTAGAAAATGGAATCTCTTCACACCTTCCCATCTATTAATAAATCATTTGCTCACAGCTGAGATATCTAGATTTCTTGCTTTCCAAATTTTCAAATGCACCACTCTAAGTGTCAGATGTGGTAGTACTCCTTGGATACCAACTTTTAATCTGTGACGGAATAACAAAGCAAAAAGAGGGGCTTCAAGTATTCCTGTCCAAGTACACCAGAAGACTTATTAGAGACAAAACTTCTTCCACTGTTTGAAAAACTGCTGGCTTTCAGAAGTGATGGAATACAGGATTTTAGTATTATATGTTATGTAGTAGTATATAGTGTCCCTGCCATTTCTCCTTCCTTCCCCAGTCCTTCTGTCCTTTGTGTCTGATACTTCTTTCTATCTGTCACTGCTCTCCTGATATTCTCTGCCTTTCTCTTTGGTCTCTAATTTGTCCTTTTATTTCCTACATTACAATCTTTCTCTCCTCTATCCCTAACCTTGAATTTATCCATCCTTATTTCCTGAAAAGGGTTGAGTCATTCTGTCCATTGGTCAAGAGCTATTCCTAAAGAGGTGGAAGAAGGCAATTTGCACTGTGATAGCTAGAAGTAGTGCACAAAAAGCTGCACTGCAAAAAAGCCACAGTGCTGGAATTCCCAGGAGCAAACTCTCATTAGCAAGCTAGAGATTTATTCTCACTTTATTTCCTCACTTGGTCTCCAGATGATGGCTTTGCATGCTCAAGTATAGATTTAGCACCCAAATTTTAAAACTGTGTTCACAATCCTTTAGGTCCTATTAACAATGTCCTTGAGTGAACTTGGTCATTGCTATAGACCACCAGGCTGACACTAAGTACATGTGTGCATACTGGGAAGGGATGCTAGGTTATTTTCACTCCACTCTTTTCCTGGAAGGCACTCGTATGTTTGCACTCTTTTGATGCAGCAAAATGACACAGTACTCTTAGGTGCCTTTTCATGACTGGGACTGCCCATAATATAAGCAAGGTTTTTCTTGAGAAGCAATACTTTACATGAAGTAGGAAGAGCAACATGAGTGAATTTCTGTGGAAAAAAAGGTACAGGAAAAAGTTCCAGATGCTTTATCCCACAATCCCAATGCTAGCACTGTTTAATCTTGTGTTGTTATGTATTTATAACTGGGTATTTCATAGTTTTTGTCTATATATGACACTAGACACTGAGCCCAGTAGAAAATCCAGGAAATGTTTAATATTGCAAGATAAATTCAAGTTAATTTTTAATTCTATGCTACTCTGTGTCATCGTCCTTGACACGGCTTTAAATCTCAGAACCACAGAATCATGGAAACTAGAAAGGATCTTTGGAGGTGACCTGGTGCAACCTGCCCTGCTCTAGCAAGGTCACTAAGAGCAGGTTGCCCAGGGCCATATGACTACAGGTAACAGAACAAATCTGCTCATCTCAGGATGTGTTGAATAATTCTCAAGGGTCTGTTGACTGCACTGATGGAATGTTCAGTGAAGTTGTGGAGGAGCCTGGATGATTTGCTCAAATGCAGACGTGCAGGTATCTGCATCTACAACCTGAATCCCTAGATAAAGTAGGGAGGGGGAATCTGTGTGATCCTGCTGAAGCTTTTTAGAAGTCAGGAATCTGTTTAAGAACAGTAATTCAGGCTCCTCAAGTGAATAACAAACACCTCCCATGATTACTATGAATTCTTTATTTAGAGCTGTGTGCAATTAGTCACCCAGTTTGCTATCTCTGTTAGCCTAGAAAGAGAGTTGATAACTACCGAGATAACATGCCTGCCTTTTAGATGGCTAAAACTGGAAAGCATCTCAGTTTTCCTGCTACTCTTAATTACACACAAGACACAACCCTGTATACACAATTCCTTAAAGGGGAGATGATTCCTAAAAAACAGACCCAGTGAAAAAAATTCCAATCCAGTTGCATTAATCTACAATTAATTCAGATATTACTGACACAAGGGAATTTAACTGCAGATGCTTTTTTTTTTTTTTTTTTTTTTTTTTCATCAAAAAGTCATTTGAAACCAAGCGAGGCAATTTTTCAAAGGAACATGTCGGCCTTTAATTCTGAAAAAGCACAGGGAAATAAATTACCTCTTGTTTCACAGAAAAGAACCTCTAAATAACAGCAAAATATCTTTTTATTGCAATTTCCATTGCTATTTTTTGGACTATGACCTTTTTATTCTCAAGCAAGGCCACTAATTGGACTGTTTTAATCCCTAATTTTTTAATGAGTGCAGACACTAACGATTCCTTCTTGAAGCTCATTATAAACCTTGATTCAAATCCTCCCATTTTTCTGATTCAATGACATATTGTTATGGTTAATTTAACTTCCCAAAGATGCACACAGCTTTCTGAGGCACTGTAATATTTTCAGAGCAGAATCTGTTCCCAACTTTTCTGCTCTATATTCTAAAAACAAAAATGAATTCCTCGTAAATGAAAGAATTGAGAGTCTGACTAGAAATCCATTGAAGCTGATGAGATTTTTTATTGCAGTAATGTTATCATGCTCTCACTGCTCTTTATAACATGGACTTTTCTATTTGCATCATCTTCCTCTATGCAGTTCAGTACGCAGCAGATTATGGCTGATTTTCAGTATATCCTTTAATAGATGCCTTGAAATTTACTGTTTCATAAAACAAGTGAGTACTTTTCTGCATACATCTTTCCACATTCCCTTAAAAAGAAACAAAAAAAAATTGCTTTTTCCAGGCAAATTTTCTTAGCATAGCCCAACTTTTATTATCGCTATGATTATTGGCCAGAATTCCAGTACATTTCCATTTCCTCATATCTGACTGTTGCTGAGCCAAAAATCTTAATTGTACACTTTGATTTCAAAATATACAGCTTGAAATGTATAAAGATGTAGATCTGCACCCTGAAGAAACCTATCTGCACAACATGGGTTACAATACAGTGCAATGGTGCTATCCGGATGGCAAGTTCTTCTTTTCTAACGTGTATTAATTATGACAGGGTTCTTTGCACCATAACACACTACATTACCACTTGTGTTTTGTATTATGATTCACATGTTGGCCATATGATAGCCAGCCAACGTGACTTTGTAATAGCTGGCAAGCGCTTCCTCTCACTATACTTCTCATATGATGAAATTTCAAGGCAGTGTAAACCATATATTTATAGACTCATAGAATTAAAGAATCACAAGGTTGGAAAGGACCTACAGGATCATCCAGTCCAACTGTCCTCCCATCACCATTTCTAGCAGAAGCTACTAACCCGTATCTTGTAGCTCCTCATCCAGACGCTCTTGAACACTGCCAGGGACAGTGACTCCACCACCTCCCTTTGC